GGGGACGGGCGGGATGGGGCCAGCTGGGGCCCCGCTGCTGTCAACGAGCACCAGTGACCCTCACCGCGGCATCTGTGTCCCCCAGAGCCAGATCTCGGTGCTGCAGAACCGCATCGAGCAGCTGGAGCAGCTTCTGGAGGAGAACCACGAGATCATCAGCCACATCAAGGACTCGGTGCTGGAGCTGACAGCCCATGCTGAGGGGCAGCCAGCGCTGCCCCCACACACCCCCAATGGTTCCTGGGTGCTGCCCCCCGAGAGTCGCCCCAGCTTCCTCTCCGTCTCCCCACAGGACTGTCAGTTTGCCCTGGGGGGCAAGGGCCAGAGCCCAGACCTGCAGGTGAGGGGCTCTGGGTGGCCTGGGACCTGTCTCTGCCTGCACCAGGACTCCCTGCTGGGCGTCCCTAGGGTCCTGGCCCTGCTGCACTGGGGGGTCTCTCAGTCCTGCCCCCTGATCCCTGTCTCCCACCTGGCAGATGCTGGCCATCTACTCCCTGCTGCCCTTCGACAACCAGGACGGCGGGGTGTGGAAGCAGGGCTTTGATATCACCTACGAGCCCAACGAGTGGGACACGGAGCCACTGCAGGTGTTTGTGGTGCCACATTCCCACAACGACCCAGGTGAGGGGGGGGAGGCCCATCCCAGCCCCTGCCACCCCACGCTGCTGGTGGGGAGGGGTTGGACCCCCGCAGTGATCCCCGCACATGCCAGCAGGCTGGATCAAGACCTTCGACAAGTACTACTACGACCAGACACAGCACATCCTCAACAGCATGGTGCTGAAGATGCAGGAGGACCCGCGCCGACGCTTCATCTGGTCTGAGATCTCCTTCTTTTCCAAGTGGTGGGACAACATCAGTGCCCAGAAGCGGGCAGCCGTGCGCAGGTAGGGCTGCCTGGCCCAGGTCCCTGCCCTGGGATTCTCTCTCCCCATGCCCAGGGGGTGGGAAACCTTCTCCTTGCTGTAACCCTGAGCGTGTGAACTCTGCTTCAGGGCTTGAGTGGTGCAAAGCCCAGGGCACCCTCAGGGGTACCTGGAGGACAGGACAGTGGAGTCTCCCTGGTCAGACCCCTGCCCCAGGGGGGCTGGAGCTGAAGGACAGAGCGGAGGGCCTGTGTGGGGATGGGCTCTGTTTGGGATCTTGGCAAGTGTGGTGCTATAGGGGGTGGGTCTGTCTGTGTGGGGACAGGGAGGGCAGTGGTGCACAGAGGCTGTGGTTGGGAACCAGGTGGCTCCAAGATAGGGGAGGCTCTGCCATGGTTACAGGGCTCTGCCTGGAGCTCATCACCTCTCGTGTGTCTCCTGTGCAGGCTGGTTGGCAATGGGCAGCTGGAGATGGTGACAGGTGGCTGGGTGATGCCCGATGAGGCCAATTCCCACTACTTTGCTATGATTGACCAGCTGATTGAGGGGCATCAGTGGCTGGAGAAGAACATTGGTGAGAGCTGGTGGGACACGGCACAGGAGGGGGCAGGGTGCTGGCAGGGGATCCAGGTACCTCTTTCTCCTGTTCACAGAGGTGCTGATGGCTCTCCGTGTCCCCAGGCGTGACACCCCGCTCGGGCTGGGCCGTCGACCCCTTTGGGCACAGCTCCACCATGCCCTACCTGCTGAAGCGCTCCAACCTGACGGGCATGCTCATCCAGCGCGTGCACTATGCCATCAAGAAGCACTTTGCGGCCACCCAGAACCTGGAGTTCATGTGGAGACAGACCTGGGGTGAGGGGCTGCTAGGGGATGACCGTGGAGGGGGCAGTGCCAGGGCAGGTGACAGCAGGGGACAGCTACCAGCCGCTTTCCTGCGTGTTGGTGAGCAGAGTGCTGGGAGGGAAAATCCCCAGGGTGATTCCACAAGCACCGGGGAGGCTGCTGGGCTCTCTGGGCTCTGAGCTGCTGAGCCACGTGCCAGGTCAGCTCTGCCTCACCAGCCATCCCTGTGCCTGCCTGCTGGGTGTCCCCCTGCTTGGGGAGTAGCAAGGGACAGCCCTTGCTGGTGCTCACCTGTACTTGGCCCCACAGACCCGGACGCCAGCACCGACATCTTCTGCCACATGATGCCCTTCTACAGCTATGATGTGCCCCACACCTGTGGGCCAGACCCCAAGATCTGCTGCCAGTTCGACTTCAAGCGCCTGCCGGGCGGCCGCATCAACTGCCCGTGGAAGGTGCCTCCCCGAGCCATCACCGACAACAACGTGGCAGAGCGGTGAGTGCTGCGGGGGCAAGGGCTGAGCCCCACGCCTGCAGAGCCCACCTGACAGCCCGGACCCCCCACAGGGCCCAGCTGCTGCTGGACCAGTACCGCAAGAAGTCCAAGCTGTACCGCAGCAAGGTGCTGCTGGTGCCCCTGGGAGACGACTTCCGCTACGACAAGCCGCAGGAGTGGGATGCCCAGTTCCTCAACTACCAGCGCCTCTTTGACTTCCTCAACTCCCAGCCCAACCTCCATGTCCAAGTGGGTGTGGGGAGCTCTAGGGGACTGGGGGACAGGGCCCCCCCCCACACAGAGTGCAGTGCACAGTGCACAGTGCTAGGAGGGTGGGGAGAGCTACAGCGGGTCCCATCGTGCTCAGAGCTGCATGGCCATCCCACAGGTGCAGTTTGGGACGCTCTCAGACTACTTTGATGCCCTGTACAAGAAGCTGGGCATCGTGCCGGGGATGAAGCCACCCGGGTTCCCGGTGCTGAGCGGCGATTTCTTCTCCTATGCCGACCGGGAAGATCATTACTGGACTGGCTACTACACCTCCCGGCCCTTCTACAAGAGCCTGGACCGTGTGCTGGAGGCCCATCTCCGGTGAGGGGAAGGTCCCCGGGCAGGGGCTGCATGTGGGGGACATGGGCAGGGGTTGGGAGGGACTCGTGGTGACCCCATCCCTGTGCAGGGGGGCAGAGATCCTGTTCAGCCTGGCCCTCGCCCCCGCCCGCCGTGCCGGCGCTGATGGCAAGTACCCACTCTCGGACTATGCCCTGCTGAGCAACGCGCGCCGCAACCTGGGGCTCTTCCAGCACCACGACGCCATCACCGGCACCGCCAAGGAGGCCGTGGCGGTTGACTACGGAGTCCGGTGCGTGCGGGGGGCAGGGTGCAGCATGGAGGGCCTGTCTCCAATTGGGGTTGTTGGGCATGGAGTTGAGAGTGTGGTTGGGTGTGGGGTCCTGATGGACCCTCTCCTGGGGGAGGCGGTGGATGCTGGGGGGCCTGGGGCAGGATGGGGGATGGTCCCCGAGGCTCACTCTGCCCGTGCCCCAGGCTGCTCCACTCCCTCACCAACCTCAAGCGCGTCATCATCAACGCTGCACATTACCTGGTGCTGTGGAACAAGGACACGTACCACCATGACCCTGCTGCACCTTTCCTCGGCATGGTGAGCAGCGCCTGGCACACCGAGCCATGCGGGGCGGCTGCCCTGTGCCCCCGGAGCACAGGCTGCCCACTCCCTGCACACCCTGTCTCTGACTGCTCCCCTCCCCAGGACGACACACGCCCCAGCCAGGACTCCCTCCCAGATAAGACAGTGGTCAAACTGGACACGTCACCCCGGTACGGGCTGCCTGCCTTGCTTTTGGGGCTTGGGGGACCATGGTGGGGTGGTGAGGGGGGACCTGGGGCTCAGGACAGCAGCGGGTGGGTGGTGTGGGGCAGGGGGCACCCGGTCATCAAGGGGTTAGGATGGCCATGGCCGTGTCACCCCACCCTGCAGGTTCCTGGTGGTGTTCAACCCTCTGGAGCAGGAGCGGCTGAGCGTGGTGCCCGTGCTGGTGGACTCCCCGCACGTGCGAGTGCTCTCCGAGGAGGGGAAACCCCTGCCCATCCAGCTCAGCGCACACTGGGGCTCTGCCACTGACATGGTGCCTGATGTGTACCAGGTACAGGGTGCCCTGGTGCCACTTCTGTCCCCTGCGGCTCAGCCCGTGTGCCAGCTCCACATGCACTGCCCCGTGGCTATGACCGGGACACCCTGAGTCCTCCTTGGTGGCAAGAAATGTCCCCACATCCCACCACCAGCTCCCACTGCTTGCTAACCATGCATGTCCCCGCTCAGCAGACCCCCAGGAGCACCAAGCTGGGGTCTTTGCCCTGCCAACGGCTGGCAGGTCCCGGCTGCCCCCCTGGAGGGGCTGGCTCAGCTCCCTGTGTCCCGCAGGTGTCGGTCCTGGCCCGGCTGCCCGCGCTGGGGCTGCGTGTCCTGCAGCTGCACCGGTCCCCGGACGGCCGCCCCGCGGCCTCTACCCGCCTCTACCTGCACGGCCGGGACGTGCCCGTGCGCAGGCAGGAGCCTGTTCCCCCGCACCTCCTCCCCGCC